CCAGTTCTATCTTCAGGTCTTGAGTTGTTTTGTTTACTTCCTTCACCTGTCTGACTGTACTTTCCTGTTTTTCTTTTAGTTCCTTCAACTCTGTTTCTTTTATTTCATTCAGTGCTTTAAGCATTTCCTTTCTAAAGGCCACAAACTGTTTGGCTGCAGCTTCCTCTATTTCTTTATGGATGGCAATATTCTGTTTGAGTTTATCTTCCTCTATGTCTTTACATATCTTATTTGTTTCCTCTGTTATCACCTTCATGAGCATAGTTGTTAGGTCATCTTCTTGGATTTCAGTTATGCTGGGGTGTCCAGGGCTACTTGCCCCTGGGTAACTGGGTTCTGGAGATGCCATATTGCTCTGTCTTTTGTTGCTTGAGCCTTTACGCTGGCCTCTACCCATTGTGCTATGTTAGGTGTTTGGGGTTATTTTCTGGTGGTTCCTGGGGATCCTGTGGTAGAGAGAATCCCCTTGGCAGAAAGCTGGTTTTTCCTGAAGGAAGTCTTCTCAGCTTTTTGGGTATAGTCCCTGGATGGCTGGTGTTTTTTCAGGAGTTGCTGCTTCTCCCCTCAGGGATAGAGACCTGAGTGGTAACTGTGGTCTTTGTTAGTCGAGAGGGTTGTCCTCTCACCCAGGGAAGTCCTGAAGACAGCTGCCCTGTTTCTGGGTTTCTTGCTGTAAATTTAATGATCAGTTGCTGTGACCCAGTTGGACATCTGGTGTGCAGCAACTGTTTGTGCCTGTGTCTGGAGCATAGCTGAGTGATGATTAGTTTTCTTCAGTGGTATTTTTTCTTCTAGTGTCTTCTATAATGCTGGATTTGGTGTAGGTATTGTTGAAATTTGTTTTTGTCATTGAATATCTTGTTTTCTCTGTCTATGAGGACTGAGCGCTTTGCAGAGTATAGTAGCCTGGGCTGACATCTGTGTTCTCTTAGGGTCTGCATGATATCTGTCCAGGCCTTTCTGGCTTTCACAGTCTCTGTTGAGAAGTCAGGTGTGATTCTGATGGTTTTGCCATGATATGTTACTTGGCATTTTTCCCTTGCAGCTTTTAGTATTTTTTCTTTGTTCTGTATACTTACTGTTTTGATTATTATGTGGCGGGACGATTTTTTTTTTCTGGTCTAATTTATTGGGTGTTCTGTAGGGCTCTTGTATTCTTATAGGCCCCTCCTTTAAGTTGGGGAAATTTTCTTCAATGATTTTGTTGAAAATATTTTCTGGGCCTAGGAGGAGGGAATCTTCTTTTTCCTCTATTCCTATTATTCTTAGGTTTTGTCTTTTTATGTTGTCTTGAATTTCTTGGATGCTCTGTGTCAGGAATTTTTTAGATTTAACATTTTCTTTGACAGACACATTGATTTCTTCCATTGTATCATCCACACCTGAGATTCTTTCTTCCATCGCTTGTAGTCTATTGGTATGCTAACCTCTGTAGTTCCTGTTTTCTTCCCTAAGTTCTTTCTCTCCACAATTTCCTTCATTTGTGTTTTCTTTAATTTTTCCAATTCTATCTTCAGATCTTGAGCCATTTTGTTGATTTCCTTCACCTGTCTGACTGTTTTTTCCTGTTTTTCCTTCAATTCCTTCAGCTGTTTGAACAATTCTCTGTTTCTTTTATTTCTTTCAGTGATTTAAGTATTTCCTTTCTAAAGCCCACAGACTGTTTGGCTGCAACTTCCCGTATTTTTTTACGGATGGATATGATCTGTTTTTCTTTATCTTCTTCTATTTCTTTACGGATGGCCATAATCTGTTTGATTTTATCTTTCTCTAGGTCTTTACGTATTTTATTTGTTTCCTCTGTTATCCTCTTCATGAGCATAGATGTTAGGTCATCTTCTTGAATTTCAATTATGTTGGGGTGTCCAGGGGTACTTGCTCCAAAATAACTGGGTTCTAGAGATGTCATATTGCACTGTCTTTTGTTGGTTTGAGCTTTTATGCTGGCCTCTACCCATTGGGCTATCTTAGGTGCTGGGTGTTAGTTTCTGGTGGTTCCTGCAATCCTGTGGTGGAGAGAATCCCCTTGGCAGGAAGATGGTTTTTCCTGGAGGAAGCCTCCTCAGCTCTTTGGGTATGGTCACTGTATGGCTGGTGTTTTTCAGGAGTTGCCACAGCTCACCTCAGGTGTAGAGAACTGAGTGGTAACCATGGTCCTTGTTAGTCAAGAGGGATATCCTCTCACCCGGAGAAGTCCTAGAGACAGCTTGGACTGTCTTGCCCAGCTTGCCCTGCTTCTGGGTTTCTTGCTGTAAATTTAGTGAGCTGCTGCTGTAACCTGGGTGTCCTGTGGTTTGGTCAGTTTTGTTAGAGATAACTGGTTGCCCCTTGGAGCAGTATCTGGGGGTTGATCTTGGAGATCCCAAGCTTCTGTAGGTCTGAGGTTGGGCCTCTGTGCCCCAGTACCCAAGCAGTTATCTATGGCAGGTGAGTACCGCTCTCCTGGTAACAGCAGGCTAGCTGGTGCACAGCCAATCCTTGGATTGGGCCAGTCTGCGGGACCTTTTCCAGGGATATATTGGATGTTCTATGTCTGTCCCCATTTCTTCCTTCCCTGTGGAGTTTACTCCTGATAGGGATTCCTAGTCTCTGATGCCCTGGTGCTCACAGCTCTGTCTGTGCCAGAGAGCTGGGTGTGCAGCAAGTCTCTGTGCTTGCAGCTGAAGCCCAGTTCAGTGATGGCGGCTGGCACCCGCCTTTTTGTGAAATCTTTTCCAGGGAAAGACTGGGTGACCTGTGGTCAGTCATATTCATTCCTTCCCTTTGGGTTTTTCTCACAACTGTGACTCCCATTCTCTGGTGTTTTTGTGCCCACTGTTCAGCCCGGGAATGTGATCAGGACACGCAGCCGTGCGGCTCTGGTCTGGCGATCTAGTGCCTTTCCGGTTCTGGCTGGGTGACCTGAGAGTGGACCCAACTGATTCCAATGCCATGGGGAATTTCTCTCACCTGGGAAACATGATCGCTGTTGTTTTAGGGCCTAGAGTTCAGTCTCCTGGTCCCTGTATGAAAAATGTTGTCCTGCTCCTCAGTTGCACTGTTCTCCTGGCACCACTCTCTTGTCTCTCCCCCTGTATCAGTTTCTTAACCATCCTCACCTAGATGTAGATAGAGACTGCTGGCTAGGCCAGTACCACATTGTGTTGGTACTGATCAAACAGTAAGTTCCCTTTCCAACTCTCTACAGCTGTGAATGGGACCAACCTAAGCTTCCAGTGGGGAATCTCAAGGAAAGGGTGTGTGTGCTTACTGTCACCAAGACACCCATAGATAGTTCCCCTCTGCAGAATCGGTAGCCAGGCACAGCAGCTTATCCTGGGAATGTTGCTCTAGTCTATTTCCAAGCCCCAGAGAGTAGCTGTCCTGCTTGCACTAATGGCGTAAGCAAGTGTGCACCTTGTGGTTTTTTGCATTGGAGGAGAGCCCACTCTTTTGTGATGTCACCTCGTGTACGTCACACCACAGGTGTTTATGTAGAGTTGAGAAAAGGGCAGGGTCCCCTAAATCTAGACTCTTGGCCCTTAACACTGCTTTGTCAGTCTGGGGCCCAGTTACTGTGATCACACCAGCTTCATTCTGACTTCTGGGCATGGGGAACCCCACTCCTGCTCCTCAGATACACCACTGAAAGCCCCAGTTTGATTTCTGTCCATTGGAACTAAAAATGTCCTGACTGTGGGTGACATATGGTATCAGAGAAGAGCTGTCTAGATTTAACAATGGGCCATGTTGCGAGTAGAAGCTGAATTTTCTTTTCCTTTCCTCCTTCCCACATCTGTGTCACTCTTCCACAAAACTCCAACAGTATTTCATCACGCCTACGTGGTGAGTCTCCAGAGACTGTCAAGTGAGGAGGGCTTGTGACTCAATTTACCTTTTTTCGCTTAGCTAATCTCCCAATTCTTGGGATTGACTTTTGACTTCTGAGAATTTAGAATAAAAATTGAGTCAGATTTGGGAACTGAACCTTGAACACAAGAGGAGGTAGGGGGAGGAGAGTAGATTTCTCAGTGTTGTGTATTCTCTCTTTTTCTCCTTCTCAGCTTGTTGCCATGTGGTTGCCCGTGGCATGTCAAGTAAGCATTGCCAGGCTCTCATACACGCATGCACACACGCAAGCACACAACAACACGCACACTCTCTCTCACACACATCATAAAAAATGTGATCTCAGCCCTTTGGGGTGTCTGGGTTTGGTTGACATTTGGTCCTCCAGGGGGGCAGTGGGACTCAGAGGAGAGGGGACCATAAAATGGAGAAGGCATAAGGGAGGATTTGAGGAGGAAGAGCTTAGGTTGGTTCTTTAGGGAGAGTTGAGTTTTAGTGAGGGGACAGTGGAAGAGGAGTTGTGAAATGAGCAAGTTGTCCTCTCAGGGATGTGTGTAGACAGTGGCAGGTGGAGGCAGGAGATCTAGCTGGTGAGGGGAGCAGACTCTGTCAGGGTAGCTGAGATGCCCCTAGTGCATATAAGGAGGGAGAAAGGCAGGCATTTGCTCTCTTTTTCCACCTAAGTTGGTTCAAGAGGAGAGGTGCTCAGGCACACAGCAATGGAGTTTGGGAGTATTCTGGGTGTGAGCTCATGTGTCAGTCTTCCATTCAATGTGATAGTATCTCCGGGGTTTGTGCGCTATTTTAGAGATATGCAGTTGCAACACAAGTCAGGCTTCTCTCTCTCTTTTTTCTTGTTATTGTTTTGGATCAGGAGACAATTTCCTTCAGGCTAAAGGCTGACTCTAGGACTCTCCAGCCTGGACTCCCACCTTCCCCAGCTTTGCTGTTTCCTGTAGAGTGCTAGGCAGGGAGAGAGGCAGGAAAGAGGGTGATGTCTTCTGCCAGCTTCCCTGAGCAGCTCCTGCTTGCAGACTAAGGGACCAGAGGTGACCTCTCTTCTGGGTCTCTACCTCCTTTTATCTTCTAACCTACTCTGTCAGACTCCTCACAGATTGTTCTTGGGAGAAAAACCCAACCAGCCCGACTGTTGGTAGATAGAGGGCATCTATCTACAGAGTGGCCTCCTTGTCCACTGCAGCTTGAATGTTCTTGGCAGCCCAGATGCCCGACTTGATGGCAGTGTCTATCCAGCCATGAGGTAGGTTTGTGTGCTCCCCAGCAAAGTAGATGTGGCCCTCTGGCTGGGAGAGCTGCTTCGAATAGTCCACATATTGGTAGGGTGTGAACTCAGCATGGGAGCCAATGGTGAGTGTCTCTAGAGACCATTGCTTGCCCACTGACTCAGGGCACATACGCTTTAGTTCCTCCTTGGATCGCTGGTGCACTGCGGCCAGATCATCCAGGATGATATCCACCACCTGGTCATCCTTCATGGAGGTAAAGAACAGGGAATCATCGCCCACAGTGAAAGAGGCCAGCAGCACGCTCTTACCACCTGGCAGGCTGTGGCTGGGATAGTAGATGAATCGGGAGGGCCGGTCCGTGATGGAGCTCCCACCCCGTATGCCCTCCTTTTCCCAGAAACGTTCCTTGCATACTAATGCCACCTTGGTGGCACTGATGTAATGCAACAAGCGCAGGGTGTGTGTTTTGTCTCTGGACAGGGGTGGCTGGAAGGTGATGAGGCGTGTGGCCTTGGCTGAAGCCGAGATGATGACATAGTCTGCTGTGAGGTTCTGCAGTGAAGACGTGGGCCCAGCTGTGCGGTAGGAAACCTCAACCTTCGTTCCTTTTCTCACCACTCTTTCTACTTTGGACCCCAGATGGATGGTGCCTGGCTTCAGGATGGCACTGAGGCCATTAGGGAGTTGGTCAAAGCCACCAGTGATCTCTATAAATCTGCGGGACGGGGGTGGAGAGGAAAAGATGAGTAGAGACACTACCAGCTCTGTGTGTCCCAGCACTGGCCATACTTCTGGTCTGAGAAGGGAAGAACCTATCTCCTGACTCTTGTTTGGACACTTTATAAACATCACCTTCACGAATACACAACCCCGTGTCAGGCGGAGATTGTTACCTGACTGCACCCAACATGGTGAATACCCAACAAACCAGTGCTGGGGACTGGGTTCTGCCTGGCACCAGGTCAGCCTTACTCTGTGCTTTTGGAGTAGAAGATGTTAAAACTCCTCAGGGTCTCCAGGAGGGAGTCATATAATCCAGCATCCTCATTCATCAAGTCCTCGATGAACTGGACTGCTCCTTTGCTTAGGTTTCCTTCCTTCATTAGGTAAGCCTGTGGAACGAGGGCACCATAGATGCAAGTGTGGGCCATAGGGTAAGGAATACAGGAAGGCTTTAGCAGGGACCTGGGCCCAGCAAGGGTAGATTTGGGCTTGACAGAGGCAAAGGCTTTTGCAGTAGGAAGAGAGCATCCTGGAGGCAGGACATGCCTCAGAGCCTTTGTTGAGCCCAGAGCCCTGAGTGCACATCTCTACTTCCATCCTGGGGCTTCTCATTTCACTTACCTTGGTGGAGTAAGAGTCATAAAGGGATAGCAGTTCAGGGCAGTTGAGTGGCTTCATGGATTCATTGATCTGCAGAAGGTGAGGAGAGATATGGTCATCAAGCTTTGCCTCCAGGTGACCAGGACAGCTAGGCTGTTGGAGACAAGGTCACAGGGCAACACATACTGTACATATTTTTAGATTAGAGTCAGGTTCTTTGGATGTCCCTTGGAGAGGCTGCGAAAGGCCAGAAAAGTGTAGTTACCACAGCTCCTGGGTTTGCCTTCTTCCCTGGGTGTGCCTTCTTCCCTGAGGAGTATGTCTCCTTCATTTGAAGAAACCCATGCTTTTGTTGAGACAGGGTCTCACATGGCCTAGGTTGGCTTCCAATTCACTGTAGAGCTGAGGCTGCTTTTCAGTACTAGATCCTCCTGCCTCCACCTTCTAAGTATTGGGATTAAAGCATGTACTATGACACAGGACTTGAAATGAAAGACCAGTTCAGGACAAAAATTGAAGGGAAGGTTCATTTGATAGCATACTTGCTGGACAAGACTGAGGACTTGAGTTCTAGCCTCAGAATCCATAGAAAAGTTGCATGTGTTAGGGCTGGAGAGATGTCTCAGTGACAAAGAGCACTGGCTGCTCTTCAGGAGGTCCTGGGTTCCATTCCCACTACCCACATAGCAGCTTGCATCTGTCTGTACCTTCAGTTCTGGGTATCTGACACCCTCACACAGACACACATGCAGGTAAAACACCAATGCACATATTAAAAACATTGTGTGCGCAGAGGGGCAGCTGTGGTACACATTTAATTCCAGCACTGAAGAGGTAGAGGTAGGTTGATCTCTGTGAGCTTGAGACCATCTTGATCTGCAAAGGGAGAGGGAGAGCCAGGCGTGGTGATGCACACCTGTAATTCCAGAACTCAGGAGGGAGAGACAGGCAGGTGTATGTGAGTTTGATGCCAGCCTGGTCTACAGAGGGAGATCCAGGACGGCTAAGGCTACACAGAGAATCTCTGTCTCCAAACAACAACAGCAACAAAGTGGGGTGTGTTGTCACAGGGCTATAATGCCAGCCTTGAGGATATAGAAGTAGGATGCCTAGGGCTGGCTGGCCAGCCAATTCAGGAGAATTAGCAAGCTCTAGGTTAGGTGAGATACTGCTAAAAATAAAATAAAATAAATAAAATAAAATAAAATAAAATATAAAATAAAATAATAAAATAAAATGATAATATAAAATAAAATAATAAAATAAATAAAATAATAAAATAAAATAAAATAAAATAAAATAAAATAAAGTAGAAAGCAATCAGGGAAGACACCTGATGTTGACCTCTGGCTTCTACAGAAATGTACATTTAGGATGCCTGACATACTCCCAAGGATTCCTAAACCCAACTGCCCCTTTCTTTCTATTGCTTCTGTCCACATCATGGCCCCTGAATCGCTCAGAAATAAAAGGAGAGGGTTGAGGGTGAAGTTGCGGGTGGTGACATCCTTAATAGATGTTAGAATGTCGATGCACCAATCATGAGGGTACTGGGTGGGAGTCAGGTGATCTGAGTCCATGTACTGATTTGGCCTGTGATCTTAGGCACCACCCCATTTCATTCTTGATTGAAGCTGGGAAAGTCAGTAGGCACCTTAATGATGGCTTGGTAGAAGAGTTGTTCGGCAGTTTTGTTCTTCTCTGTGGGACTGGTGGGGTAGCCCAAGATATCTGGGTTAGCCTTGACTTCCCCAGCACGGTGACGCTGTCCATTGAGTAGGTACCAGGTGTTGTTGTCATACTCAATGAACTTATTGAACTTCAGGCCAAGCTTCTTGACATAGATGTGGATTAGCCTGGAGCAGAGATAGACATATCAGCCTTGTCCCTTCTGGTCCCACCTTAGAAATGACCTGGTGCCTAGAAACTCAGACTAATTTCTTACTCAGTTGTAATCTCATTTAATATGGGCATTAGCTCCTCCACTCCCAAGGCTAAGGAGGGCATGAAGTTCCTGGAAATAAGGACCTTTATGAAATCCCAACTAATAGTACTCAACAGTACAGACAGATGTCCTTTGTTCCAGGCAGCATTTGGGATCCCATTATGCCCTTGTTAAGTAATTTTGAGGCTGTGTTTATGATACCCACTTTGGGCTGGTGCAGTTGTTTTTGTTGTTGGTTGTTTAGAGGTTACGTATGGTTTCAGTTTCTATTGAAGGCAAAAGAAGAGAAACATCTGTGGAGATAAGGTCTAGGACAAAGCTCGGGCTGAACACATGATAGACACTGTTAATTAGAAGGTGTTATATTTTCTCATCTTATTTTGGTGCAACTGACAAATATGAAGCTGCCAGTATTTACCCTCCAGTTTGATGGGTAGGCAGTAATGACAGAAATTGTTGTTTTGGGATCTATCATTTCCTGTGTGACCCTCAGCTTCCTGTGACCTCTGGTATTCTCTCCAACATGGGGGATGAGTATCATCCCTGACTAATTGGGTTGGATCATATGACACAGCGATACTTAAAGACAGGCATGATGACATTGGGGTCCCTCCTACCTTTTCTTCATCCCCCGGCCCCATATTCCTTTTCTTGCACCGGACTTACCTCTGGCTTTTTGGGATTCTCATTGGTCCTAGATCAATGTACCAGCCTTCCTCCTTGTTTCTGTATGTGAGCACCCGACCTCCAGTGTAGTTACTGGCCTCCAAGATGGTTACCTGGGGAGCAGAGAAGTTGCTATCATTCTTAGGGAGTGCTTCCCTTTCTCCTCACCCCATTTCTCAATTCCAAATAGCTATAGGCTCTGGCCTGGACTCTAGGAACGTGCAGCATAACCTCAGTAGAGCTGTTTGCTCTGGAGGGTCCTGAGTGATTGGGGGCCCTTGCTTGGTAGCATAGGTCATCCCTCTGGCTGCCACAAGAACATGAATGGCGGTTATAAAGATGAGGGCTCAGGGCATTTGGAGACTGATCTACACGCCATTGTGCACCTCTCCCTGTCAGGCCACTCTTTTTCCGCTCAAGGAGGCAAATCGAAGGCTGATGATCAGGGTTTCTCTAAACTGTCTTACCTCGTGACCAGCATCCTGCAGCAGCTTAGCTGCCACTAGGCCTGCCATTCCAGCCCCTACCACCACCACACGCTTGGGATGTTTGGAGGCCTTGAGCCCATTCTGGGCTATTTCAACGAGGGTGTCATAATCGGGGTCCTGTAAACACTTGAAAATGTCCTCAGAGAAGACAAGGCAGCCGAACATGGACAGCAAGATCCCCCAAATAAGGATTTCTGGAAGCAGAGAGAGCAAGGTGGGGGGTCTTTCTGGAGTCCATCCCCAACCAAGTATACATAATAAATATATAAATCTTTCAATCCCAGGCCTTGGTAAAGCTGAATCCCTATCTCAATTCTTTTTTTAAGAATATACATACGTATATATTTTCATTTTTAAGATTATAATGCTATCTCAGTTCTTATTCTCTTTACTCTTACATGGTACTCAGCTGATGTCCGCAGCCCCATGGCCAGCTTGTTGACCCATGCCCCTCTCCCATCTAGCACCTGTACCTATTTCCAGTATCTAACTCTTCCTTGCTCATTCTCCTCCAAACCGTGAGCAGGACCCCACTTACCACTCTTCTTGGCCATGGCCGTAAACCTCATGTGGAACTCAGAGCCGCTCAACCTCCCTTTATAAAGAAGGCAGCACCTCCTTGGTAATATTTGGCCCTCATCCCACCAGGCTGCCTCTGGCCCTATTGACTCAGCCAAGCAGGGCAGCCCTGCTTTAAGAGCATGAGGAGAGATGACAGTGATAACTGAACCGACCTTCTTCTCATCCTCTTCATTGCACCTGCCAACACCCCCAACTGCCTCTTCCTCTAGAAAAGCCTCTTCTCACACTACAGTCCTCCTGGTGCTAAGGAGCAGGTAGGCCATTCTAGACTTGCTGTGATGGCCCTGGAAAGGAATGAGAGCTGGGTTGGGCTTCCAGTCTCTGAACTTCTAGAACAAGCCAGAGTTCCTTACAGCCCCAGTACATTCTGTATTGCCTGCTCTCTGACCGCTGTTGGTGAAGGCCCTTGGCTCTGATGTCTGTTTGGGATGGGGATTTGCCCAGGAGCTCCTGTACAGGGTTCATGCTCTCTTTGGCCATCTCCCTCTTAGGCTCCCAGGCAGGCAGGCAGGTAGGTGCAGTCTCCAGCCTGGCCCATCTGCAGAGGCCCATTTTGTGCTCCTTTCTCTAGGACCTCCTGCCTCCACCTTCTAAGTATTGGGATTAAAGCATGTACTATGACACAGGACTTGAAATGAAAGACCAGTTCAGAACAAAAATTGAAGGGAAGGTTCATTTGATAGGATATTTGCTGGATAAGACTGAGGACTTGAGTTCTAGCCTCAGAATCCATAGAAAAGTACCATGAGTTGGGGCCAGAGAGATGTCTCAGTGATTAAGAACACGGGCTGATCTTATTAATTCTTTGAAAACTTTAAACAATGTATTTTGGTCATATTCACCCTCTTCTCCACCACTCCTCCTCTTAGCTTTTCCCAGACTTTCCAGTCACCTCCCTAACTCCCAATCTTTGTATTCTCTTTTTTTATTATTTACAGTTTATTTACTTTGTATCTCATCTGTAGCCCCCTCCCTCATTCCTTCCCAATCCCTCCCTCCCTTCCTCTTCCCCTCCCAATCCCCTCTCCATGTCCACTGATAGGGGAAGTCCTCCTCCCCTTCCATCTGACCTTAACTTATAGGGTCTCATCAGCACTGAGTGCATTGTCCTTCTTTGTGGCCTGGCAAAGCCTTTGTGTTCTCTTAAAAAAATATTTAATAACTCATTGACTCCACATTAACTACTGTTAATTTATTTGTAGGTCTGAGCCTTCCCCTGGAGCATGATCCAACTATGGGGTCCAGGTTGGCTTTGTAGCTGAGGTTGGAAATGAACTCCTGATGATTTTCTGCCTCCATCTTCCATGTGCTGGAATCACAGGCTTGCGATACTACCTCTGGTTGAGTTTTCTTGATAGTGTCTCAGTATTATAAACATTTCCACTTTGATAAAATTCACTGAATTTTTTCTCTTGCTACTTTTGCAGTAGATTTAAGAAACAATTGCCTGATCCAACAGCATGAAACTTTATTCCTTTTTTGTCTTAAAGGTATCATTTAGGTCTTTGATTCATTTTGAAGTAATTTTCTGTATATCATGTGAAAGGGCCCCAAATTCATTCTTTTGCACATGGGCATTCACTTGTCATACCACGATTTTTGAAAACACTATCTTTTCTTCACTGAACAGTCCTTGTGCCCCTGATGAAAATTAATTGACAATAAAGCTTTTTTAGAAGATTTATTTATTTTTTTTATGCGCAGTGGTGTTTTGCCTGTATGTATGTCTGAGTGACAGCGTCATTGTCCCCGAAGCTGGAGGTATAAAGAAGTGAGAGCTGTCCTTTGAATTCACACAATGGACGCAGTGTTACCTGACCCTTTAGGTCACAAAGCTGGCAACACAGCAGGTGCACACCATCAAATATCAGTGTGCACTCAGGATGAGCACTAGTTGGTTGGATGTGTGCCTTTGGATGGAACTCATTTAGATAATTTGGATTTGGATGGAGCTCATTTAGATAATTTGTGAGGATGAGTATAAGGAGAGATCTGTGGACAACTGCTCTTGAACTGGAAAATGTAAAAAAAATATGAATGCTCGTATGAATGCTCACAAAAGGGTCTAAAAATAAAAAAGAGTTAGCTAGTTAAGTGGCTAGGATGACATTCTCTGTGGACATCAGTCACCATCTTTTCCTTGTCACCGCCCAAAGGGGTCATTAAATAAAAACATCTAAGATGTCACAGCTAGAAATTATGTTTGGGCTCAGCATTACAGACTATGATCTGTTATTATCCTTTTAATCTTTACTGTTTATAGAGAGAGTTAGGGATTAAGCAATTAAAACATTACCACATGCTAAGTCCTAGATCGTTAATTGCTGTAAGTCGTTTTACCCACAGGGTATTTAGCTCTGTTTCAGATATTGCATGAGTTGTTACAGGTAGATACTTAAAAGAACACCAGGCACACAGGAAGAAACATGCTGTGAGATTTAGCTGTTATCACCATGATTATGATATAAATTTTGGTTGATATTTCTATCATTATTGTCACTGAAATTTTTATTCTATCGGCTTAGTAAACTCTGTGTCCCTCATAAAGGATCCATAGCCTTGGGGATGTAAATATCCAGCACTTTAGATACTGAGGGCATACTGCCTAAGGCAGGGCCGAGAAGCTCAAGTCAGAGATCCTGACCTGAAGGACTCTATAGTGAGGTGGTAGAAAAATACATACCCTGATGTAACAATAGTGTCCAAGTTCATTCTCTTTGTGGACATCCATTGGACTCAAGACCATGCCTCAAAGCAGTCTTTTCCTTACTGGACAGTATGTTTGTCTCTGACTAAAATCGATTGGTGTGTATCTGAACTATCAGTTCTAATCTACTAACCCACACAGTAGTCTTCATAGCAGTAGCATAACTCACTGGTTTCTATAGCTTTGTGGTAAGTTTCGACATTGGGAGTGAGAAGCCCTCCCACTTTGCTCTTCTTTTTCAAGATTTCTGGACTCTTCTGGGTCCCTTGAGCTTTCCATTGACCTTTAGGATCCATTCTGCAAATTTAGTAAAGTGAGAACAAGAACTACAATAGAAACACACCAATACAGCTTAGGACTTGTTGGCATCTTCACAATAGAACATCTTCTGATCCAGGAACCACAAGCCTCCAAATTCCAATGTGACCTCAATGCCCACAGTGAACTAGATGTTATCTGATGTGCTGAGTCACAAAGCTGGCATGCTCAACAGTTGTGCCCCGTTAAATGTCAGAGTGCACACACAGAAGTCTCCAAGCACTCCATGAAGGCACAGGAAAGTCAGGCAAGAAAGTGCCGCAAGTGAAATTGGAGAGAATGGGTGTGGAGAGATCTATGGGTAGCCTGCTTAGAAATGGGAAGGAGTGTTGGGACGTTTCTGTCTTTGTGTATCTGCATCAATAGTGTCCTCAGTAGGCAAGGACATGAAGAATTGAGTAAATGCTATGACATTTTCTGAAGACACCTGTCAGCTTCTTTCCTCGGCCACCCTCTCCCTGCTGGTCATGGTTAATCTCCACTGTCAACTTGACTGGGCTTAGAATCACCATCGAACACACCTCTGGGTGTATTTGTGAATGTATTTCCAGAAAGGATTAACTAATAGGAGATGTTCCATCTTGATTGTGGGTATCACCCTTTCAGGGGCTGGGGTACTAGGAAATGTAAAAGGAGACAGTGGTTTGAGTAAGGGCATCCATCCATCTGCTAACTGACTGGAAAGACAATGTGACCCTAAATCTGTTTCTACTGCCATGACTTCACTGACACAAATGACTTTGTGCTTGGACTCTCAGTCTAAAAAAGTGCTTCCTCAAGTGGTCTGGGTCAGGTATTTTATTATACCAATGAGGAACATAGTTATTAATGTGGCCAGTGCAGTGATGAGCACCAGGCTCAGATGTCAGGGATGCAGGCTATGCATGGTCTCAGCAGCATGAGCTTCCCACTGGCTGACAAAGCTTCACCATCCTTTGCTTCTGCTCCTATGGAGAGTTGCTTGTTAAACATCCCACACCAATGTTTAAAACTTCTTTTTCTTTATTCTTTTCTCATACAATACATTCCAGTCACAGGCTCCCCACCCTCCCCTCCTCCCAGCCCTGCACACCTTCTACTCTCCTTCATATCCTCTGCTCACTCATTTCCTCTTTGGAAAAGAGCAGGGTTCCCAGGGATATCAACCAAACACAGGATTAGAAGATGTTATAAGATCCTCAAGTCAAGGCTGGATGAGGCAACTCAGTAGGAGAAAAGGGTCCCAAGAGAAGGCAAAAGAGTCAGAGATACCCCAACTCACACTGTTAAAAATTACAAACACCCTTATTGGTGCTGTTCATAAACTTCTTATTTGGAGTTCCTAAAGCCTCTACCACCGTTTCAACACTACACACCAAGGTTGGAGAGAAATAAGGTTAGGACTAAAAGGGGATGAAGACCTCTTTAGACTTAGTTCTTGCTTGTCATCATCAGCAATAGTCATCAGTAGTCAGGATATCCAGCATTCCAGGTAACCAGCAACTTTCTTTGTCCTCTGTTTGAGTCCTCAAAGACTTCTTTCCCCCAAGATGTTACCTTCCCCTTTCTGAGCTCTGGCATTTAACAGCTAGCAAAGACCACGCCCCTCTCCAAGCTGCATGAGGCTGTTATC